CCCCAAAACCCCAAAACCCCAAAACCCCGCACCTCTGAATAAATATTGAAAATAAAATAAAATTAATAATAATAAAATGGAAAGTATGACCAAAGCAACTGAAGAAAAGGATATCCAAAAAATTAGGTGACTGGGAGCTTGGTTTTAAACTGTTCTAAATTTTTACTCTCTAATTTGTCGCAAGTTTTTAAGTTTTAATGTTTGAACCAAAATTTGCCAACTTCGAAATAATTATATTGAAAATTTCTTGTTCGAGACGTTCTTACTTCAGTTAAAAAGAATTTGACAGCCTCATCTTCCCAAAATCTGTTTTTGCTGCAACAGATTAAATTTACTTCTCATAGTTCTGACTTCAGACTCTTGAAATTACAATTAACACTTTTTCATGAATCCAAATTAAACTTTCTGACGGATTCTGACATGGATCCCTCTCCTCGTCCATCTCTAATTATGCAGTCTAGAGAAGTCTGTTCTGTCCAAAACCAAGAAACAAGATATTGCCAGAGGCCAGAGCATCTTCTATAAATTTTCTCCCGAATGAAAAATTGAACCATTAGATTCAGACTCTGGAGAAGCTCCAAAAAATAGTGCACTTATGATTGGTTCCAATGATCTAGGATATATAGAGTTTGCCCAAAGTTTCAAGAATATTAAGTTCTTTGATACAGACTATGTTAGTTTTGATTATGTCGACTCTAAAGCCAGGCATTATAAAAATTTCTTAGAATCCTCTTTCCCAGATAAAACTAATGGGTTCGGTTTTTTTTCAGATTATAAAATTGATCTGAAGAGATCCAATTACCTAAACTCCCTGCTCAGAGTTAGTTCTAAAGTCCTCCAAAAAACCCTATTTGCATTTTACTGCATCAGCCTCCCTTCCCTGAAGAGGCTGGTGGCAGCTTACAAACACGTTGGAGAGTTCACATTGTGGTCTTGCTCCTTATCAATCCCAAGTGTCCCTGATTTCTCAAAAGCTCTTTCAAACTGCCAGATCCAGAAACTAGATTTAAATTGATCGGGATGATTTGATTGTAGTGACTGGGAGAACAACTTCAACGAGTTCAAGAACTTGGTCCAAGGATTAGCAAGTTCTCCAGATTTAAGGTTGAGTCTCAAAGAGGTAAATATTGTATACTGCGAAGTAAATCAGGCTGAAGTTGAGCAAACTTTCAAAGAAAACCAACTTGGAGGAGTTAAAATAATTGATGAGTATTAAATTTTGGTTAAATTCTCTTTTACCTTATTTTGTTAAAATGGATCACTTCTCCACATTTGGCACTTGGTGGCTTTTTAATATATTTGGGGTTTCGATTAAGCGGGGTTTTGGGGTTTTGGGGTTTTGGGG